CTTGTTCTGGGGAGGTTTTTCTCCTAATAATTCCGGATTCGCTCAGAACTGGTTTTCAGTTGATGCGTTTCTCTCTCTTCCCCCCACCTCTTCATTTTTTGCTGCTCTTTCCTTACAGACCCGGTTGGGGAAACTTTATTCAAAGAAGGCAAAAGCCAGGCGTGGGGCTCCCTGGGACCCGGGGTTCAAAAAGGTAAGGCACAGAATTGTTATTTTTTTTCCCCCTCTCCCTCCCCACAGGAAGGTACTGGGGGAAAATGGGGAAAGGATCCCTGTTGCCATAGGGCAAATCGGCCGGGCTTGCCCTCCGGGCCTCGGAGTGCCTTTTCGCTTTTTCCCGCTCAGCGCTAAAATCCGCCCGCGGTCGCGCCAGGCAGCGCGCCATCTCCTTGTTAAGATTTGAGAAGGGAGCAGCGAGAAAGACGCCACCGTCTTCCTCGCAGCAGGATTTCCTAAACTGGGGTGAAAGGACAAACGGCACTTTCTTCCCAGAGAGAAAGGACGGTAGTTTATAAATCTTGGATTGTTGTGATTTTTAAAAAGAGAGCGAGCGCGCCTGCAGGAACTGAAAGAGAAAGGAAACGAAGATTTGCTCTGATTTAGATGGGGCAGACTTTGATCAGCCTTACTGCCATGCTAACGTACCTTTTTTTTTTTCTTTGCTCAAAACCTTGTATAATTAGAAAGCCTATATTATTGGTTAAATCATCAAAAAGACTCCTTCCGTCCCTAGCCTGGTGCCATCTAGAAGTGTTGGACTACAGCCCATAATCCACAACCAACAGACACTTTCCTTGTCGAGATTATGGGACATTGTAGCCCGGGCCATTTGAAAGGCCCTCAGATGAAAGAGAGACTTGCTCAGTGGAAACCTCGCAGTTCAGCTGCCCGCTTGTCGAGATTATGGGACGTTGTAGCCCGGGCCATTTGAAGGGCGCTTTCCTAGCCTTCAGATGAAAGAGACTTTCTCAGTGGAAACCTCGCAGTTCAGCTGCCCTCGGGCACTGCGCCCCTCCAAGTCCTTTTTTAAGCCTCAGGGCAGAAGATAGAGTCCATCTCTTTGAAGGGAGCTTCCTTCCAAGGTGACTGAGGTCACAAACTGTAGATCGCCCCTCAATCTCCATTCAGGTCTGGAAACTGTAACTTTGTCCGGCGACCTTCTTCACCCTCCAGTGCGGCCTCTTGAAATCTGCTCTGCTTTGGGATAAGTTTGTGTTAACATCTTCAGGGGTGGTGGGTGTGTCAGTCCATCATTTGCCGCAGGAAAGGAAAGGGATTTCCAGTTCTTCCTTTCCCTGGGAGTCCAGATCAGGTAAGAAGAGCTACCAGCAGTAGCGATCTTCGGGGTTCCACTGCGGCTCTTCGAACAAGACAAGCTGTGTTTGTGGCTCAGACCCTTGATTTCTGTGCGCGCTATCGTTTGATTTCGAAAGGCAAACTGGTCCAGCAGCGGCCACAGGATTCTGTGGCTTGAAAGCCTGTTGTTTCGTGGCGAGCACTGGGATATTTTAGGATCTAGGACCTCTTCTTTCCCCTTTCCAAGAACCCACACACGAAACGTTCCTACGCTCAACCCAAGGGCTCCTAAAACTTCCTTTCCCCTTCTCCCTCCGTTGCCTTCTGCAGAGGCTTCCCCTCCGACCAGCCTGGTGGAAACGGGGAATTTGTGCCCTGTCTGTGGTCGCCTTAGATGAGGCGGAGAAGATCCAGGATGGGCATCTTTGAAGGGGGGAAAAATACCCACGGAAGTGGCTTCCCTTTTGAAGACTAACGCTGGCTGGATAGCTCAGTGGTGTGGGGGAGAGGTTGGGAGTTCGATTCCCCGCCGTGCCTCCTGCGAGGAGAGTCAGCCTGCCTTGTCATAGGGAAGCTGCACAAGTCCCAGGGTGTCCGCAGAAGAAGGGAATGGTGGACCTCTTTTGAGTATTCTTTACTGTAAAGCCCTGGAAAAGGTCGCCATGAATCAGAATTGAGTTGACGGCACATGAGGATTAAAGAGTCACAGTTCTGTTTCAGTGTGAACTTCTGTGGATCGGGATCCTCTTCCACTGACGCTGGAATGCAAATACATGCCCTGTATAGTTGCAGGTAACCCCCCCCCCGGCTAGGTGAGGATAGGGCCAGTAGACCAAACGGCAGTAGTTGGTGAACCCAGGAATGGGACTTCCGGGCGGTTAATTACTTCAATTAGCAGGTCCTTGGCTGTCACAGGTAGGCGAAGAGAGGTTTCTAGGACCCAGGTCGGTGTCTGTCAAGGGAGTCCATTGTTTAATAAACAGAAGATATTTATTAAGAAAGGTTGGGTTATTAGGCATTCTCTCTCAGCTCAGCCGCCTGCCGACGCCCCTCCCCATCTTGCTCTGGGCGTGGGATTTAGACGAAAAGGGGATAAACTACAACTTTGGGCACAGATCATGGCGCCCTTCTAAAGGTTCGGGGGGAGGAACTTAACTGTGCCGTTTTATGCTAATTGTTAGGCTCAAGCCTTTTGTTAGGATCGGCGCAGTAGCGCTGCGGGGCTTCCTACATAGTTTTAAGATTTCAGCATGTCTTCATCCAGCCCTATTTATTCATCTATTATTTTCTGCTCATCTATTCTAGCCACTTTGAAGCAAAGGAAGCGCGCCGCCTGATCTAGTTAAGCCGAAGTACCTGGATTCCGTTCTTTTTAAAAATCCCTTTAAATTAAATTTAAGGAAGTTCTAGTGGCCTAAATATAAGTCATCTTGTTTAAGTATGTTTCGAGGGAGGGCTGCTTCGTGAAAAGATAAACAAGGGCACTCCCCGTCTGGATCCATGTCTCCTTACTCAGTGGGTTCCCACACGTCCCGGCCCGAGATGAATATGTGGGGTGAAAATCGGGCAACGGGTAGAGTTGAGCTGGAGTTGCGGAACTTGCGGCAGTACACACGTTCGACAGAGATCTCAAAACATATGTTTACCTACAAGTAAGTGAACCGAGTTTAATGGAATTCACTCCAAAGCAAATCGGAGCTGGGTGACAGACAGGAAAATCAGCTTTAACTCTATTAAGGCCTCATTGTCCTTTAACGTCTATGCCAATACAGTATCATTGGGGGCTTGTTTGCTGGAGTGAGTGGACTAGGACTACAGAGTCCTGGGTTCAAATTCCTGCTCAGCCCTGGACATTTACGGGGCGGCGGCAGCAGCATTGGTAAAACCATTCCTTAAACATCGCATACTAGGATCACCATCAGTGCGCTGCAGTATGACGAGACATCGCAAGCAAACATCATACGGGGAGGTAGAAGAAGCGCCCCAAAGGGTCTCTCGCTGAGGCTCTAAAGGAGGTGCGGTTTTCCAGAGAAATCTTCAGCACCGGCGCCCCTTCGTCACAAATCGGAGCAGTCTAAGGCGACTCGAAGGCGAGCCGGAGGAAAAGAAAAGAACAGAAGTAGCACCACTATTTGAATATGTGTGCCTTTCCCCGCACTGAGTGTGCCCAAAGCTGTTAACAGCATAAACAGCAGTGGGGCATATTCAGGGTTAGGGCGGAGAAGGGGCTCCCTTTATTATCTTGTACTTCAACGTTTTGGAAGCCTTTCAACTGTTAGTCCCCCACTAGAGTAGAGCTGTTGAATCAATGGGACGGACTTAAGTGTTTTATTTATTTATTTATTTATTTATTTATTTATTTATTTAGTTAGTTAGTTAGTTAGTTAGTTAGTTAGTTAGTTAGTTAGTTAGACTTTTATATCACCTATCTGATGGCTGCCAAGGCTACTCTGGGCGGTTTACAACTTAAAAAAAGATAATAATACGAAGCAATAAACACTATAACCATCAAAATCAAAATTAAACACAAAATAAACATAACTAGCAAGGTAAGTGAAAACTAAAACTAATTAGGATATTTATAAGTGTTGCTGTCCTCTGAAGACACCGGCCACAGGAACATAAAATAAACATAACTAGCAACGTAAGTGAAAACGAAAAATAATTAGAATAATTATAAGTGTTGCTGAACAATTCCAATGCATTTCAACAGTCTTCTCTAGCTGGGGCTTACAACTCAATATAATTTATCATTGTATTTCTGAATGTAACTCTACAAATATTTCTGCCACAAAATGTTACGCAAAGACCAAAGAAACATATTCCTGTCAGGCAGCGGAGGCAAGTCCCATTTAATTCCTAAAGTCAGGAGGGATTTACGATTTAAGTGACTTTTAAATGGGAAACTCTTCCGAACGAAAAGCATCTTTTATATGAATATTTTAAAAATCAGAGTTGGCAAATGGCTGGTTTGTTTTGTTTACTTGCTTTGCTCTAATAGACTGTGAATGTAAGAGCAGTCCTAAAGCGCGTGAGGACAGGGCGAAATTTTAGTTGCAGGATCCTTTAAAGGGGAGGGGGAAGCGGAGCAGGGGCGCCAAGATCGTTTGAAGTCCAGGCCGAACCTAACTCTTACGAATTAGCCAGGCGCATCTCTGCATCGTCAGCACATCATAGCAAATAGTACCACCTCATTTCAAAACGCCGGGTCACCGTCCAAACCATTCATTTCGCCAATAATAAGCGCCGCAACATTTAAACCCNNNNCTTCAGAACACGGCCAAAGAGCCCGAAAAACCCACAACAACCATCAGATCCTGGCCGTGAAAGCCTTCGCGAATAAATTCCAATGCATTTCAACAGTCTTCTCCAGCTGGGGCTTACAACTCAGTTTATCAATATATTTCTGAATTTAAATCTACAAATATTTCTGCTATAAAATGTTAGGCAAAGACCAAAGAAACATGTTCCCGTCAGGCTGCGGAGGCAAGTCCCATTTAATTCCTAAAGTCAGGAGGGTGTTTACGATTTAAGTGACTTTAAAATGGGAAACTCTTCCGAACGAAAAGCATCTTTTATATGAATATTTTAAAAATCAGAGTTGGCAAATGTTTAGTTTGTTTTGTTTACTTGCTTTGCTCTAATAGACTGTAAATGTAAGAGCAGTCCTAAAGCGCGTGAGGACAGGGCGAAATTTTAGTTGCAGGATCCTTTAAAGGGGAGGGGGAAGCGGAGCAGGGGCGCCCAGATCGTTTGAAGTCCAGGCCGAACTGAACCTCTTACGAATTAGCCGGGCGCATCTCTGCATCGTCAGCACATCATAGCAAATACTGCTAGTACCACCTCATTTCAAAACGCTCTCTCACCGTCCAAACCATTCATTTCGCCAATAATAAG